CCATCTTCTCTTGATAAATTATAGGTTCATCTGAATCTCCAGTTGCAAATGTTGACCTGCTGGTAAAGAAAACTTGCGAAAACCAAGTGTTTTCAACCAACGTGGCGAACCGCAACAGTTTTGAAGCACTTCAAAATACACTTTCGAACACTGATAAATACGGATTAATAACAGTTTGCAAATCTGAAGAATCCAAATAATGAACGAATAATCCACGTAGGGTGTCATACAATGAACATTTCTGATAATGCTGCGAAGGAATCAACGAATGCAATCTTTTTGTGTAGCCTTGAAACAAAGATAATCCATATGTTTCACTTCAATGAATTGTCTATCACGTGATGTACTCTGATTCATTTTTCAAATCAGACTTAATGTCAGGCAACGAGAACACGCTTGATCTTCGGATATGCAAAGTGGGAAACTAATTAACATTGCGATGATTTAATGATCAGATCACATCGTTGGAATACCACAAGTAACCTGAAAACCACGTTAATATAAAACCCAGGAGCTGGGATGTGTATATGTCAACGAGTTTAGAGAATTTTCATTGCCTCAGTTCCGTAATTAAATAATTAGTGGAATTTCGATACGGTAAAAATCAATGGCGTCTGTTGCCATTCCCACGAAACGTGGCAGGGTATGTACATGTGTTCACTGGAAAAGGTTAATTCACATTCGGTTTGTATCACGGAGAAAATGTTGACTCACTTTAAACTGCTGGTTTTACAGTACAACCTTTTACTGATCATAAATAATTCAGAATCCATTGTACTACTTTATGCAAAATAAAACAAAATTCAATCGTGTCTAATGAGTAAATCCGTTTTAAGTGAAAAATGGGACAAGTTCAAAAATTACCAATGGGATAATATTGTACAGTTCTGGAGAACAAGAAACTATGAGATGAATTAGAGTGACATTTCTGATCAACTGGAACCAAAATAATTTCCGGTCGATTGGATCTTGGAAACCGCATACATTTACGGCAGGAAAAAAATATTTAACACACACACCTTTGCACAGAAATTTTCTGATTCACACAGTACTTGATAATCTATTAGAATAACACCGTGAAGAAACAATAAAACATCCTTGTGCTCTAGTTTTACCGTTGTCGTAAATAGTCTATCTGACGTTAGTTTGTTAGACAATGGGTGAATTCTTTGTTCAATGAATTTTCGGAATCGTATTGCGCATCTTCTGCCGTAGTTGATTTTTCCTCTCTCAATGCACAAACACTTTAGATGCACAAATAATTTTAAAGTTGTTAACTTTCATTTGCTGGATGATGTTACTTTTTCTTAGCTGCTCTTGATGGACAAAATAAAAACCCTCCACGTATTTGGTATAACTGTGGAGCGCCTGGTCGGCCAGTCATTGGCACAACCAACTTTATAACAACTTTTGACTTCACTCGGCTTGAACCCAAGGAAACTTTTCTAGTCAATTTGATTGCTACACTACTTCCAGTTGTCAGTAGTGGGTATAAAAGTGCATCAATAACGGAATTACACGCGCTGAAGCGCTGTCGTATATCGATGAAATTCGATACAGAACGAAGGTATCATAATTATTCCGCCTGTTTATTTATGATGCTCTAATGCGTTCTTCATCAGAAAAATAACAAATAAATAATAATTAATAAATGCAATACCAGTTACCATGAAAGTTTGGTCATTGACCCTCATCGGTTCATGTTCCAATTTTTGAGGATCGAAAAACTCATATATTGTTGTCATCTATTCAGACTCCTACAACCCACTCCCGCCCCGATTTTCCCCAATAATCTATTCAGCATGTCAACTGTGCTTGGTGAAGAGATTAAGAATTCTCGAAAGAAATTCGAACAGATGCTAAACAAGACCGTGCAAATGGAAAATCAACTGCGTGCCACACAGGAAAAACTGAAAGATTACAAGACCAAGAATAAACAGCTTCTTCGTGCGACGCAAGATCGTGAAGCGATCAGAGAAAAGGTTAGTTTAACTGCCACTTCTTGGTGTTGTTTCACATACCAGCGTTTTGTGTTTACGAAGTATCTCAAGTATATTACAATACAGATGTTTCTCAGGGATTCCTCTGAAGAAGAAACTCGAAATGTTCCATTTCTTCTCAGCTGTCTAAATTACTAATCAATGGTTCCGTGAGAACACAGTATCTAAGTGTGCTGAGAGATGATGCGAAGGAGAGAAAATTGGTCTACCGGCCCAAGACCACAACCACTTGCGACGACCCACGCAATTGTTATATGAGTCATTTTCACCAGTAATCATGTGCAAGAGTATTCCAGAATAAAATAAGTAGCAATTACAGCTTGACGAACAAGCTCAGCCAATGTCAGGCCAAAACTGATGGTGATTAACCAATGGAGATATCCACGTTTCGTCCTGATTTTTGTTTGTTTTTACTTAAGCGTTTGCGTGATCCTAGTTTAAAGTTGAGCAATACACATTTGTACATCCACGGGCCCGATCCGTTTTACTCGGTATTTTGGCAGATTTTGTGGGTATTCATATAAATCAAAGTATATGCAGCTAGAAATAATGTAATAACTTCATCAGACTAGAAAGATCGCACTGAGAGCACTCTTAGCTGAGGAGGAATATTTAATCATATTTTGTCTGTACACTTTGTTTTGACCAATTTTTGAGACGGAACACATCTAGTAAAACATCAAATAGGCAATAAGATAATTCCAGAAGTCCTAGGGCGTTCCATTTAGACAAAGCCACGCAATGGGCTACCGGGAATCAGCCGAAAAAGAATGAAATCTGATTCATGGTTTGCTTGTGAATAAAGGTCAGTGAATGAATAAAACCAATCGGTTAAACATTGTGGATTATTCGAAGGAGAATAATACGTTTCAGCCGTGTGGTAGCTGATTGAGCTGTATAGGACGAAGGGTACTGCTAAGCTTATTCAGAATCATAATATACTTAGAGCCAAAATAAAAGAAATAGATTATAATTATGACTAGCATTATAACGATTTTCTGCCTTATGCAGTAAATCAATCAATTTGCATGTTTAATGTAAATCAAAAATCAATCGAAATGAATAAATCAATAGAATAATTAGATTTCGTTTGTAAGCAGATTTCTTTATCTGTGAGTTTGATGACTTATGCCAAGTTAGGTCTGATGGTTTTAAACCTCTGCAAATATCCGTATTGTTTAATTCCTTTTCTCTTATAGAGACAATCAGTTAAGGCTGCACATTGTTGCCTAACAGATGGATATACGATTCAACATTCTAAATTAGTCTTTATTCTGGATCACCCAGTACGTTTAAGCCGCAAGACATTTATAGGCTATTCACTATTAGTGCTCACCATAATTTTGGTTTATCAATTTGAGATCTAAATCCTCCATTTTAGTAATCTTTGCTTCCACTGATGTACATGAAACTTCTGTTGTGGCCGACCATCCATCATATAGTAACATTTCTCAACAAATTCAATCACGAATGGCAAACAGGATCCATTGAAAAAAACAAATATTCAATGTGAAAAGCTCCTAGTTTAGGTATCTATTACATATTTTGAGGTTTGGTTTCCCCAGTCACGTGAAATACTGTTAGTTTTTTATTGCATTAGACTACCATTGGTGAGCATTTTTTCAAAGTATCAAAAAACTGTATGTGCAATGGTAACTGGTTTATAAGAAGAAGTAAACTTTGAGGAAACTCCAGTCTGAATGAAAGCAACTCATGAGGTCATTTTAGGCTTAGACTGCTGGAGTCCATAGCGCGAATGATTCATTCAAAGTATGTTGTTTACTGTCTCAAGACTTATATTGGAAGGGCAAAATGTTCAGTTTAGTTTATTACACTATAAGCCTAACAATATTGTGGAGTGAAAGAAGCTACAAGCCTATTTAAATCAAACTTCACATAAACGTCTCACTCATCGATTCATGATTAGGTATTGGTTAAACGTTGCCTATGTTTTAAAAATGAAAAGACAATATATTGAGATGTAACCTATTGTCACCTGTGCGTGACGTATCTACGATTTGGTCAATTGGCAATAACTGTTGGAGCCAAAAATCATAAATGATAGTTCCATGCATCATATGATAGACCAAAACCAGTATTCTAAACAGAATTATTCTAGATTTACGAATAATAAACAATTCACATTTGGATTAGGGTTTATCCTGCCCAAGACAGATGTAATACGCTCTTTCTTAATTCCCGCCTTACTCGAATGTGATTTTTTCCACAGCTACGCGAAGCCCACAAAGAAGTGAAACGCATGGAAATGTATGTGGAAAAGGTGGAGGACGAACGAAACATGTTAGTANTGTTAGTAAAAGATTATGAAATTCTTCGTCAGTCACACAACCGCAAAGACCAGCAACTGCAAGGTTACAACACGGATCGTGCAGAATTGCTTCGGCGATTGGACATGCTGGAGTTTGACAAGCGACAATTGGAGTATCAGCTGATGGAAGCCAAACGTCGAGAGCGTTCGAACAAGTATCGTTCGGGCGGGTGAGCGGAAAACGATGTTTATCCTTTCAATTGAGAATGATGGAGGTCATTTTGCCTAATTCTTCGGTTTTATTATTACACGTTTCATTTCTGTGTGTATTCCGGATTAGATTTTTCTGAGTGACTCTTTTCTGAATATTCATATTTCACTAGTAAACATGTGAAAGTGTAGAGATTGTAGTGGTGGTAGTAACGGTAATACGCACTGAACTCGGAATACGAATCACACAATAAGGATCACGGAATACGAATCAAGGATTATCAATCACGGTCTGGATCGCGTATGCACTGGACTAGCAGGCAATATCCCACGCAAATGAGATGCGAGGAAAAGGCCACGGGAGTAGCAGTTCAGAAACAAAGGGGATTCAGTAATACATACAAAGTGAGCACTGGTTGTCCAAGCTCCTACCAATCGCGTTCCAGTATTCCTGGCATCGCTCCACTTCTGTATGGGCCGCAGGGATTCTGATTAGATGGTACGTCTACTTATGGTATGTAATCAGAAGCAGTGACAACTATGCGCGTTGTTGACGTCACCCGTCAAGTTTGATTGATCGCATTTGTCCAAAAACTGTAACTCGTCGTTCCAGAGTACGCGTCATCTCGTAGGCCCGGAAAAAGAATTCCAAAATTACCGACGATCTGAGGGTCGGTGTCCAACTGTAAACTCCGTCTTTCATCTGTGCTGAGTATACCAAGGAGCGAACACAATTATTCCAAGAAGAACAGATTCCTTCCTAAAGATGCTGTAGCTATTCCCAATAGATGTTTTCTTTTTTCAAACGTCAAATAATGCAATCTGTCACATAAGCAAAGTCAACAAACGAAGTTCTTATAGACTGTCCAGTCACTCTTTGTGTCCTTTGTCATCGACGTTTCGGAGTGAATGTTTTCACACGTGGATTGTAATTTTCCAGTATGCGTAATAAATATTTCAAAACAGCTGAACCAGTAACGTTTCATGACAGTGATGCGAAGCTACATGTTGTGAACGGTCCAGTTTAGACTAACGGATTCTTCACAACCCACGTTTACCTTGCGGTTGTGAACATGGTAACAGTGGACATCAACAAGCCTCTAAAATATATTAGTAACGGATGTGGATCATTTTCGAGGTGCGACCTGATCTTGATGATATAGGTTTATGCATAGTGGATAAAACATATTTCAGTCATCATGATATGCATTTCATTTCAAGTAATTGTAAGTTATGCTCCAACTATAATACTGATTTTGTCATAAGTACACCACTGTTCAATTCAGAACCAGACTTTTCGTCAAAAAAGAGCATTGTTGCGGATCACGGAAGCTCATTTTGAAACTGATGGCATTGATCTGGATACATTCGATGAAATACCTGATATATCTGGTACCACAGACACCAATACGTAGTGATTCGTTTCTAGGATTGATAAACGTAACATGGTTTGTGCAAATAGAATTGAAAGAGTAGTTATCCTAAAACCTGAAACCTTATTTCCGTTTCTAATGTGAAGACGCTAAAATGGAAGGAAGGCTATCTAATAAGTATATGAATTTTATAATAATAGGAACAATGATAAAATCATGGATGTTTTTGGTGATTTTACACATGTGCCAACGTCCAATTAGTGTTTTATTGACTCGCTTCACCCAGTATCAACAATCTAATAACGCATGAACAGTTAACATTCACCTAATAGCATTTTTGAAGTAAATATGCATTAGTTATTACATCAAGTGTAATCAATACAGTTATCATTGTGAAATCATAAACACCGATCACAAAATTTAAATGAGGTAAACGCTCGATGGGAGATAAAATTATTACATATCTTTTAAAGAAAATATCAATGTGTATGTGAGTGGGGTTGATCACGTGCAAAGGTAGATGGAACTCGAGGTAGTAATCATCTCGAGCCTCTGAAACATACGGAACGAATGGGTGAATGAAGTAAGTCGGGAGTTCCAAAACGGTTACTAGATTTTCAATTGTGTTTTACAATTCTGAACGTACCTGTCTATGTAAAAACCTCAGTTTTTACTTACAGATTGAAAAAACTATGACGGAGTTAGGGAGACTAAATGTTCGCACTCTAAGAGAAAATCACTAAAGAAAGCTTTCCCGTTCTTGCTCCTTTCCCCTGCAGAATGTCACCACGCAGACAACATAGATCACATACACAACGCGATTCAATCACTGGTACACCAATCCGGTACGTTAGCTGGCATGATTTCTATGCTGCTTAACCCGCGCGACGTCATACTGAATGAGTTTGGACCGTACATTAGACAGTAGTTGTAATGTATTGCATTTTGTTTTATTGTTATGCTCTACACAAGCAGCTATACCTATATTTCAGTCGAAAATCTGTTTACTGTTACAGATATAAAAGGTCGTCAACAAGGATGAAACCTGGGCAAAAGATCATCTTTGTGGATTTCAAGATATTTCGTTTAGTCTGTTCTTCTTCTTTAGAATACGAGCAAAATAGGATACTGTTATGCTGGAAGATAAGCAAAGATCGTTTAGTCGGGTCATTGCGGAGATGTGTAACCATACCTGATTGGTTCTCTCAATACCCACACAACTATTGGCGCTTTTACAAAACAAAACGAAACAAACCGAAAAATTTCTGTGAAGATGTAATCACCATCCTTCTCGTCATCATCATTCCGGTCGCCATAATCGCTCGATTAGCAATTATGAGCATCAAGATTATCCGAGCCATTAACGATGGTGGAATAGTTATCACCCCTATCACTCAAATCATCTTTCGGATACTATTTCATTTCGCTGTCCGGAATGCATGGTAGTTGTATGCATTCAAAAGTTTACAAACTAAATCCTTGAAAACAAAGAAGCTCACTAAAGACCATTTGTGTGGATATTTAAGAGAACTTCATACAGCTATGAATGATTTACACGGAGTTACAAACAGTTCCTTATGTACTTTTAGTCTGCTATGGATTTGAGGATTCACTATTCTCTGGGGCTCTCTTCTGATAACCAGTATAGAATAGTTATCTCATCAATTGATATTGCTACCTACCACTGACCGAATATCGCAAAGCTTCCTTACGTTCATAAGCGTTCCATTATCCCCTGCTTACGGTTTCGTCCGATTAAACATAGTTTCGGACCAATGTAGTCAATCGTGAAAACATCACTGAACAATTTTCGAAAGGTTTACTATTACTCAAACTTTTGTTTTCATATGCTTGCACACGCATTTGTTGTTAGTAATTACCATTGGACTCATTTTTTCCCCTGACTAACCACATTCGTCTTGTTCACTCATAAACCAATGCGCGTCAATTCAGATTCGACTCAATTTTCAGTAGTCTATTCTTTTGTTTCCTAGAGACCCTAGTTGAAACTGATCGACGAGATGTGTTGTTGTTGTCGTTGTTGTTGTTGCTGCTGCTGCTGTTGTTGTTTGTTAAAAACAAGGCACTACATTGTGATCGCAACCATTCTTCGATTATTTTGAAAACTGACCACCGCTTCACTTCTGTTTGTGTGCATGCACATTTGGTTGAACAGACGTTTATCCTCATACCCACGTCCCACTCGGTACTCGTAAGTCGGCAGCATGTGCCCACACTTTCGTTTTCCAACAGGAAACCTCGTTGTCTTGGTGCTGTGTGTTTTGTTAATCACGCACCCATCAGCTGGTCGAAAGTGTATACAATTTGTTTGCTTGTGCTCTCTTGTGCATGCTTGCGTGCATGTGTGCCAGTGCTGAGTCATTGCTCAAGTTCTAAATCTCATTCAAGCAGTGGTCTCATGTGTGATACAGAACTCAGTTTCGATAAAAACGAATAACCCAATGCCATTGAATGCTCGGTGTAACACAAAACCTGGACTCGGTAGAGACAGAGAGGGGTTAGTCTATTCACGAGTCTTTGCCCTGTGATGGGCTATTGATTAGTCAGTTTGGATCAATAGATAAACCGAATTCCAACCTCATGCAATGCCAAACAACGTCATGAATTTTAAACCTATCATCCTATCAACCGACATCAATAAAAGCGAACTAATCAGAAACACTGTCATTATGGGAATAACTCAAAGCACAGTACTGCAGTTTGTCACGAGCTGTCTTTTTTTAACTGATCACTTTGCAGATAACATTCATTCCTGGTCAATGATAACCATGTTCTGTGCAGTGAATTCGACTATAACATTTTATCTGAACTAACCAAATCACTGACAAACAAAGTATACGATAATTTTATAATGTTTATTTTAATAACATTGTTTTCGGAAAAGAAACCATAGTAGGTCAATCTGAAAAGTATGGAATGGATAAAAATGTGCAATGGACTTCGGCATTCGGTACTCATGATTAAATGCACTTCGTCAGCTTGTTGTCTAACAATGATTACTAAACGCCGGTTAAGATAGAAACCTAATTTTAATCTGGAACAACACCTTTTGAACACGCCCCAGGTTTATGAGACACACTTCCTTGTAGTATAAAATAAACGAATTGCCGTAGTAATTTCAATTAGTGTAAAGCCTTCTGTTAACCACCGGTAAGTGTTTCAAACAATATTTCACATCCACACTCAACGCAAGCTTTAAAATAAAAGCGGATTTAAAGAAATATTTTCAGTTCCTCTTAAAACAATGAACCCTTGCTTACCGATAGTTTCTCGTTTTCCAAAGTGAACTTTGTCAGGTACAATGATATCAACTTATAAGGCAGTATAAATTGTGTTCTCTCATTCCGACAGCGATTGTTGAAACAAGTCAGTTGTCCCAACTTAGTTGGAGGATATGATGTCATATTTTCTAACCATTTGTAATGTGTTCTAATTTAAAATACTGTACTTTCTGATCTATTCTTCATTGAGCTCCTTCTATTTATCATTCATGGTTTCCTTGAACAAAAGTGACTACTCACCGTCACGGCGATTACAGTTACATTTTACTACTTCTCATGAACTGACTGACCTCACTGTTCTTCAAATCCTATAACTAGGTCTAGGTTTAGGAGATTTATTCCCGTCAGGATAAGTTTATGGCATACTTCCACTGTCCATTATTGGGCCTGTATTCTACCTATTGGAAGGAAGTGGCTATTGGGCTTCTACTGAAATATTCAGGATGGACAATACTTTTTGTTCTCTTTGTACAGTTTTATTTAGTTTCTTATTCTGCGGCTAGGTTATGAGTTTGTTTTCCGATTGAAATGTACACAGCGCCGCTTGAAAAACATCATAAGCACAGTACATTGTAACAGAGTACAAAATGTCCACATTTTGTTTAAATGTACAATATTTGGGCTGATTATCAAACACGTGCCCAACCAGTAGTAAGTAACTTTGTAATGTTCCCATGAGGCTGAACACCCTTCGAAACACGTTCTTCTCAAGGGGATACCCATTCTAGGGACCAGGTCTACTTGCAACTTGCAAAAGCCTTTAACAATAGAAAAATTAAAACTTTACGGCGCAGAGTTGTTGTTAGTGAAAGTCGAAAAGAAAGTAATTCAGCTGTTGATCACCTACAAGCAAACAGATTATGATCGATATTTGTTGAAGTATCGAGGTTATGGATTCCACTTCGATTGCCTTATCCATGTCGGTCGTGTAGCAGCAGAAAGATCCAAACATGATTAGGCACCTTGTTGCTTTACATCTTTACATCTCAGTGGCGCATGTAAATGGAGTACAATTATTTACTTTACGGTTTCTTCCCTATGATAATCATTTTGTCTGTCGCACATATTCGAGACACATAGAGTAGTCTATTCCGTAGGCTTTCCTGAGTGACGCTAGTTAAAAACGTACCTATTGCATATGCGGTGCTAGCCTGTAAAAGTGGTAATGAAGCGTAGAATGCATCATAACGNATAACGCATATCATGAATTCTCAACTCCATGTTTTATATCTCCATTGAAGCGACTTTGGAATGATTTGTATTTACTGGAGCGAATTTGGTTTCAGTGTCAGAATGCCTACACTTGTTGCACCTATCGCAAAAGAACCGTGAGAAATAGGCTCAGGTCACACTTTTGCTCTAAGCTGGTGCTAAACCGCGAGCACGGGTCACACATGGAATCAGATGAGCTTCCGTCGTGCATAGTATTT